AATGGATAAAAGAAGATTGAAAAGGAAGAGCAAAATGCACATGCGTAGTGGATGTGGCTAAGTGGATATATACGTTTGAATGAGAGATATCTTTCCTTGACCATATCTCTATTTGTCTCCTTTGAATTGAACATATTTTATTGACAAAGTCAAAAGGATCGGACACAAGTTCTGTAACTTAGATAGTCCTCTCCTAATAAAACATTTTGTAAAATTGCCAAAGTAAAACAAACATATATACATATGGTCTATACTATGCTATATACATTGTATACATTGTAGCAATAAACAGGAATAAATTTTTTAAATATACAAAAATAATTTGAGATGTTGAGAAAAAAACTTATTTTTAAAAACGACCACATTCATTTAAGAAAGTTTGAATAGTTTTAAAAAGTTCAGCATTTTGTTCGAAAGTTACAGAATCATCGCTCCATAGCATTAAATGTACATCTATAATATGTAAATAATTTAATGACAATAGCTTGTTCATTAAGGAATTTCTTGCTTTTACATAATGTTTACAAACAAAAAAACAGATGATATGTATCTTCTAGTAGTCCACAAGAACAATTAGGACTAGTAATTAGGTTACAGCGATATAAATCAGACTTTAAAATACAATTGTGTCTTAATCTTGTATGAGTTATGTTCAAAAACCTTTTTCCATAAGAAAAATATTTCTGAGATTTAACATTACTATTTTGAAGATAGTTTTTGAAAATTTTAATAGAAGTTGCCTCTCTTGTTTTTTGACTAAGGGAATTCCACTTTCTAACGGTATCGGGAATAAATGATTTATTGTAGAGTTCTAATCTATATTTTGGCAAAGAATAATTTAAAGAATTCCGGGTAGTGTATCCTGAAATATGAGTCCATATCTTTCTTACGGATAAACTTGGATCTCATTTCACACTAAGATTGCCCATGAACCAAGGGTTTAAATGCAAATATCTTTACTATTATTTGAAATTGATATGGAGATCAATTAATTAAACAGGCATGTTAATTCAAATTTATCGATAAAATTCTCTTCCAAAGATAGTCGGCTAAATACGTTTCTCCGTCGGCTTCGATTCATATATATAAAATTGAAAACATCGGGTAAGGTTTCGAACGAACTTGTGAAATAATTATTTTACTGAGAGGACAGTGGGATTTTAGCGGCACTTTTTATGCTAAATGGATTTGGTTTTTACTAGATTATTATCTAAAGAAATGAAGCATATTATCAATCATTCAGAAATTTTACACTTTATTCTAAAATTTCTATATATCAAAGTAACTTATAAAATGTACTAGAAAACTTTTTTTTGCCAAATAAATTAATAAGCAATTAGTTTATTACTTTAAAATGTATCAAATATATTAAAATAAAATATTCAGACTTGGGTTTCTGCCATCCAGCAAAGTTTACCAATCAAAGTTGGATAGTGTTTGCTTATTGTTGTTCAGCCTTGTTAAATTTTTGATGCACCATACAAGAAAACTATTTTAAAAAGTTTGATTTACATTGCACCAGACATGCTATGATAAACTGTGATTTTCAGTGTTGATCTTGGGACTTGAATGAATCTCTTTTCAAATAACATACATTTGTGATGAAGAAGTCCTCTAAATTTTCTTTTATTTTGTTCATTTTAACACCTAACGGCTACCTGAAGGTAGTCTGTGCATTGGCTTACTATTATTAGAATCAGAGTCACATTTAGCATTCAAACATTTACATAGCTGCAGATCTGTATCTCTCCGAAAAATATATTGATAGACCGGAGAGCTACAGTGCCACCCATTGAAAACACTGTATATTTATTAAGCACAAAAAAGTGCGCTATGTTCTTGATCATTTCTTCCAAATTCTAATCTCAATTGCAAAAAAAGGAAATATTTCGAAAAATTCCTTTATCCTCAATCAAGTACTCTCGTAGTTGACATATGAACGAAGCATATTGGACCAAATTATATCTTTGAAACCAAAATGGCAGTATAAATAAGCGAAATGTTCGATGTAATAAGGCGTAGACAACGTCGTCTTCAGTGTAGAAGGTACATTAACGAAGGTCCGAATTTTGGTGTTAATCTAGATGGCTGGGACAAGTTAAAACCATTCGAAATTTCCATTCATGGCTGTGTAGATGGCTTTTCAAGACGTATTCTCTGGCTCAAAGCTTGCAATTCTGACAAAAAAAACCTTGAGTTAATATCCAGATTTTATATAGATTATATCAAAAAAAATAAACGGGGTTCCTGTAGTCGTATACGCAGACAGGGGTACTGAGAACTTCATAGTTGGAGATTTGCAATACGCTTTGCGATGGAATCACCAGCATCCCTTGCAAGAACTATCAAGTCAATATTCTTTACATTTGATATTTATCTTACCTCTTACCATTTGGAAAGAAAATTTCTATGGCTTTGTTGAGGATATCAGAATAGGTAGAAGCATCTACCATTTCCACCGTTCTAGTACCACCACCACTGGAGGGCCGCACCTGTGTAAACTTGGTTCCTGTGTTGTTTTAGTATTACAGTATATGATTTTTTAAAATAAATAATTATTATACACCGGGAGCAAGCCCCTGTAATTTTACTTATGAACAAATGCCCACTCTAAATAATATTGTTGACATTAATATATGTATGCTTCTCTAGTAACCGTCTGGCTGGATTAAGGTTTCCTCTGGTGGAAACGTCCTTAAATCAATGAAGAATATAATGCTTTGGATTGTCTCCCTATTTGTTCAATATTTTTCGCATTTTTCCTTCAACATATTATTTTCCAACTGGCGATATCGGCATATACGGTTCCTAATTTCGGTACGTAAGTTCCATTGGAAGTTTGTAACAGATATTTTTCTTTGTTACTGTTAATCAAGTGACTTATTCTTTGATAAAGGAGTTGTTGACCGAATTGAAAGCCTTGAGTTTGGTCTCGTATTCTACGGCGTTATCCCGCAAATTTGTTTCAAATGTCTTCACGAGGTCACTGGTGCTGTCCACCAACGTTTTTTTCCTGTGGTTGTTTGGATAAGTCTCCGCATTTTTGACTCGTTCAACAATTTCGATCTGAGTATGATCAAGTCTTAAATGACAGCTGCCGCATTGTTTTAGTGTCGTGTTACCATAGTTCTGCACATGAATGCTACAGTATTTTGCCTGCAAGCTTGAAAAATGTTTCTTAGCACTCTCAACTTGGGCGTCAGTTTCAGTTATTTCCTCCTTCAAGTCGAGCATTGTCTTTTCAGTAGGAGATCTGTACGTGTATATTTCTAGAGGGTCCCCCGGTATTTAGCTTTCGGTGTGAGTTATTTGCTTGCTAAGACACGTGCTCTTCGTGCTCTTCATTCTCGATCATTACATGTAGCTGACTCTTTTGTGTGAAATGTGCCAAGTTCTCTAGAACTTTGGGTGACATTTTTTATGTTTTCCTTGATAAATCGCTTGAGGAGAGATCTTTTCACCTGTTTATATGCACCTGAGCAGAACGATTATCTAGAAGAAGAAGATACCACAACCGTCTTTTTTCTTCAAGGCCAATTATCTGCATTTGTTATCACCGCTTTTCTCCTGGGTATAATCCTCAACAGGAATGATTTTTTTGTTTGGTCAAAGTTAATATTAAGCTGAGGAGGGATTTCATATTCTTTGACAAGCTTTAAAATCATGAGCAGTTTATTCATGAGGTTGCTCCCACGTCTGGCTTGCTGGTATTTAATGGTTTTTTTGGAATCTATGTGAATTTTGGATTGCAATGGCCAGGACATCTTCTTCTTTGATTTGCAAGTTGTGTCTAAAGCACTCAAGAACAGTCTCTGAAGTGTTTTCTTAATCAGACTTAGGGATAAATGTACCATAAAGCAATGTACTTCCTTGAACGGTTTTATTGTTGTACCACAGAATCCTGTAACTGCTTGACACGAGTCTCCAGTTCTGTAATCTTCTGTTCCTGAGGATGCACTCGTGTTGTCTTCAACGTTTTTAGGTCTGAAATCTTGGTCTTGTAGAGCTCTCTCTGTCTGTAATGTCATGTCTTTCCTCAGTTTTGATAGCGACTCTTCCACTTAATCTGCTTTCTCTCCCACAGTTTTCAGATTTTCATTCACAGAGTTTTCTACACAGGCAACTTAGCCACATATGATTCTCATAGTAGTATCATATGATTCTCATATGAGAATCATAGAAAAAGGGCATCATATGTGAATCATATGAAGCAAATCATATGATTTACATATGATTCACATATGTGAATCATATGAAAATAACTACATATGATTTGCATATGAATGATTTAAGTGTGTTTCAAGCCATTTACATACGAGAATCATATGAAAAGGACATCATATGTAAATCATATGAAACACTTAAGTGTGTTTCACTTAAGTGTATTTCATGCCATTTACATATGAGAATCATATGAAAGGGGCATCATATGTAAATCATATGAAACAGTTATGTGTGAACATTCTCTTTCAAAAATTTTCACATTCTTGTACACATTTAAAAATCAGATATTTCTGCTTTAGATGAAAATTCATTACATTACAATGATCTATCTTCATTGGTTAAATATTTCAAAATATTTTATATTGCTTACACAACTTTTTTGATAAAATTATTTTCATCAAGAGAAATAACTTATTTTTCACAGTGTACATTCTAAACAAGAAAATATACAAACAAGTCAGTAGCATTTGTCGATACATGTATTAAACATATTTTAAAATGAGTACAAATTATAAGATTTCAGCAAAATGATTAAGTAGTTAAACATGTATACATGTACAAATAAATAAAATAATTAGGTCATGTACTTGTATAAAAATACTTAATGACATGAAAGTGTCCAGAGCAAAATTAAAATATCAGCAATAACATTTGTCACGTATTCTCTATTGCAAATTTATGAAAAAAAATCATGTTATTTGATATTCTCGCATACAAATAAGAATGGGAAATCTTTACAGGTCAAATTCTGACAAGATTGTGTACATCCTCCACATTTCATAATTATTCCATATATTTCCAGGTTCTTTTTCCTTCTGTATCTTTTCAATATGTTCAGTTTCGTCCTCCCTCTGATTTGACCATTCTGAAAATCTCTTTGAACTGTACCAAAAATGCAAATCCACCAGTTCTCCCCTTCCTGAACAATTTCTTTGTGGCACAGAATGGTCTCTACAAAAATTGCGAAATTAAGAAGATTCTGACAAATATATTACTTTTGGACAAAAAAGAATATAAAAAAGTCTGTTAAACAGTGTGTAGTTACCTTAACTTTGAAGCAAGCCTAGGATCTTTGTATTTTTCCTTATGAGAGGCTGACTGTATATTGAACCTGTAAAACCAATATTAACACAGTAGATATTTTCTAAGCATAACTAAAACTTAAACTACAAGAAAGAGAGAGTATACAAGTTTCTAGTTTCTCAATAGTCTTAAATTTCTTACATTTTACCTGAAACTAGGTTCTCTATTAGTATTGGAATTTTTTTTTATAAATGTCAGTCAATGAATACATAGATGTAAATATTCAATGGATAAGCTATGTGATGTACTTTCAACACATACACATGCATATGTGTACCTTAAAAGTTTGCCACTGTTATTATTAATTTTTTGCTGAAATTCAAAAATTCAATTAACCCCCTGAAGTTAATGTATAGTTTCATAGCTTTTAAAGCCAGCATATTCTATTCATTAACTTACCATATTTTTAAAAGTGCATTGGATAAAAATTGTTTAAAAATGTAGAATACAACTTCTATATTATTGAGTTGAATTTATTTTTGATGAAGCCATGCAAACAATGTAGAATTATGAAGGAACAAAAAGAAATTATGAAGAAATATTTTGTCATAAAGGAGTCATTACAGTTGTACACTTTGATTTTTTATTGCAAGTGTTTCTTTTTACCTTTAATATTGTGATGATGCAATCGTCTGTCACAATCAGCTTTTGAATCAATCGCCAGTCTTATCAGCTTTGGGCTTCTTGGACTTAATAAAAAAACAGCACAGTGACACTGAACTCAAGTTGTTGAATTCATCTATAGGCCATAAAAACAAACATTTGTCATTAATTTGATGAAAGAATCGACTTGATAACGATCTCAACATACAAAAACGCCAAATTGCTATACAGGGTTTCTACTTTCACTTTCAAATCAGTACGTAACAAAAGTCTAAACAAAAAAGAAAACAAAGTAATGCCTTTAGCCTAACATGTAAATTATAATGTTTGCATCCGTTCAGAAACAAATTTATCCAAAATTACTTACAGATCACTTAAGTTATGCAGATTCACGAAATGCATTAATTTAACAATTACAAGTGTAACAGAGATTAGTTCATACGAACCTGTAACCGTAATGAAACGATATTTAAACAATATGAATTAAAGGTCTTTAAAAAATTGTTAGGAGATTACTTACTTTTTCCAACACCCAGCACTTCTGCTGCAGCAGTGACGTCAAACATGAAGTACACTTTGATCCGATAAAAGTAAAAACCGGTCCGGGAAAAATACGGATTTTTTTTTTACTCAAGTAATAAACCCAAACCCAAAAGATTTGAAATAAAAAGCAAATTAATTTATTCTTTATCAATTTTGTCTGGGATATGCATTATTTCTGAAAAAGAAAATTGTGAAAGGTATTTTTTTTATAAGGGAAAGGGGGGGGGGGTGTTAAACAGAGTAGAACTTAACATAAGTTAATGCTAACAAATTCTTTTGAAATTGATGTAAATTTAAATTACTATTGAGATATATTATTGAAATTGCAATTTTACTTGAGTATATCAAGGGCAAATTAGTGAATACTGTCTCATATGATTCTCATATGATCACTGTCTCATATGATCAATGTCAAAATATTCATATGACTTTTACCTGAGTATAAATAGGACAAATTAACAAACATGGTTTCATATGATCAGTTTCATATGATTCTCATATGACCACTGCCAAAATATACATATGATTCTCATATGTAGGACCTTTCATACGAGAATCTTATGTATATTTCTTCATATGATTAAAATATGTATTATCATATGATTCTCATATGATTGGCAACATATGATTCTCATATGATTGTATATACACATGCTTCTCATATGATCCACATATGATCTTCATATGAAAGGCAATGCATATGTGGATCATATGTGGCTAAATTGCCTATGTAGTTTACAAATAAGCTTCATAAAAAGAGTTTTAAGATCGTTATTTGAAACCTCTTTATGTTCATTTTTTTGCTTTGTTTTGAGTCCTCTTTATTTTGTTTTATCTGTCTTGTCTTGCTTTGTTCGTTCCATAGTTAGAATTTCCTTTTATTTTCTTACCGTCGAGGAGGTATTTGTACATAAAGGAGCACGAAAACGAAATGAGTGGAGAGTAACAAAGTAATTATAATAATGATATTGTTTCATGGTTATAAAAGTAATTATTTGTTTCATGGTTATAAAAGTAATAATTTTTAATTAAAAGTATATTTCAAGGTCAACTAAAATGTCACTAAAATTGTTTTTATCTAAAATCACACCATGATATTTGTAAAAAAAAAAAAAAAAAATAAAACAAATTTAGAGTTAGGATAGCCTTTTTACACATAACGTACCCAGTCATTTGCAACAACAATAAATTAAAAATTGATGTATTTCTTGGTTACTTTCCCGTGACACCTGACTCCCTTCCCTTATTTCAGAGGGGTTTATTTGAAAATAGTTCTTTCCCCTCATATTGATTACAAAATGGACAAATTGTCCATATGTTGTAATGTTCTGAAGACTAATTTGTCGTGAATTGCTATTTTAGAAATGTTTTTGTAATCTACACGAAACAGATGTTTGGTATCTGTAAGATTAAGGTTTCGTCAAAGGTCAACATGTCCAAAAAATTATATTTACAATGGCCCCAAAACTATGAGGGGTATAAAGTTAAAACTTTTACACTTTATAATTTTTTCATTGATTAACAGATAGAAAGTATCACTTGATAAAAAAAATACTTGGAAAAAATATTAAATGAGAAAAAATCTTCTTAAAAATGCATATATTTTCAAAAAATATACCTAATTATTTTTGCGCTCTTAGTGAAAACTATTATTGCAGAAACAAAATATGTTTATCAATGAAGGGCAAGTTGGACTTGGATAGCCTCTGGAAAGTTGTTTTCCCTGTTTATTTTGTCCATATGTTAAGACTTGGGAGTGAAAGTACATTGCAAATGGCGTATTTTATAGGGGTCTTTTATTTATACATGTCATGCTTTCAATAACAGCCTTTCAGAGACCATTCACGTCCAACTTGCCCTTCAATGATAAACATATATTATTTCTGCAATGATGGTTTTCACAAAAAAGACAGAATTAAGCAGGTGCATTTTTCTTGAAATATGCACATTTACTGATACAGTTTTTCTCAAAAAATATCTTTTTAAAAATATTTTTTATCAAGTGATACTTTTTATCTATTAATCAATGATATATTTATAAACTCTAAACGTTTTGAGTTTATACCACACATAGTTTTGGAGATATTGTAAAAATAATTTTTCCGTCATGTTGACCTTTGACGAAACCTTAAACCACTTAGTGACGATACCCACTGTTTTTACAAACATTATACATCATTTATTTTTAGCTCTACTGGTCAGAGACCAGAAGAGCTTATGCGATAGTTATGCGTCCGTCCGTCTGTCTGTAAACAATATTTCAAAATGCTACTCTTCCTACAGTTTTGGTCTGATTTCAGTATAACTTGGCACACAAGTAGACTACACTAAGATACATATTTCTGTTTATCATTTTTTAATTTCGATGAACCTGTTGCTGTGGTTACTAAAAATAGAAATTTCTGTGAAATTCTTTCAAAATGCTACTCCTCCTACAGTTTTGATCTGATTTTTATATAACTTGGCACACAAGTAGACTACACTAAGATACATAATTCTTAGTATCGGTTTTTGATTTCGATGAATGGTGTTGCCGTTGTTACTTAAAATAGACATTCCTGTGAAATTCTTTTGAAATACTACGTCTACTACAGTTTTGATATGATTTCAATTTAACTTGGTACAAAGTAGACTACTTTAAGATACATACATACAGTCCCTGAAACGTTCTACTTTCCCACCTCAAAGGTGAACGAACGCAGAGCAAACGCTGAACGCAACTTGGTGAACGATGTTTGAACGGTAAACGCAGAACGCGAACGGAGCGCGAACACGAGCGCAAAGTGAACAGTGAACGAACGGTGAACGCAAGATGAACGATTTATTCGGAATGCCTCTGATTTTTTCCTTGCGTTGAAATTATTTTATAATTCTAATTTCAGGTGCTTTATTATTATAAATATACAGTAGATAAATAAATTAAAAAAAATAATAATAAAAACATTTTTTCTATACATATATGCACCTATGATTTAGATCGAGTTTTATAACACGATTTTAATTGCCGTAAAACATGTGTATTTGTAACCGAACGCGTGTAGTTTAAATATAAAATTAATCTATTTATATATATAAAGTAAATATGCTTATCTTTTCACTTATAAAATAATGTGGACTTTAGAAGATAAAACTACTACTTATAGAATGAAATAATTACACTGTACGCGGTTGAATCAACAATACATGTATTTCCGTGCCAAGACTGAGTAAAATAACGGATATTTTAATTCACAATTGTCTATTGACGTATTGCATAAAAACCTTTTTTAAAAAATTCTAATGCAAAATATTCTTAGTTATGTGTCTTTTGTATTCTTTTATGATGATTATTTTAGCTAACTTCTACATGTCCCGGCCGTGATTATACCCTGCAAGATGATGGAAATTAAGAGGCATTCAAATTATTTGTAATATATTAAAATTTCAAAACTAAATAAGTAATGTGCTGTCATAGTTTTTATTGAACAGAGAACTGTATGAGAGAGAGAGAGAGAGATACCCCTTCAATTCTCAGATATCTGTTGTATTAAATAAAAATTATTATTATTTTACTTAAATATTCCAAGCAGTAAAGGTAATAATTTTTTTAGATTAACAAATCCATTTAACAGTAATCATTGGCTTTTATTTTCCGTCATCAAGTTCACACGGTCCACGTGTTTGTCCTGTCGATCAAATTTTATTCGACACAGAGGAGGCGTGGAAATCGCGTTTTACCGAACATTCCGAAGGCAGTCACTTAGTATTTCAAAGAAGTTTTAATATTTTTCCCTATCATTTCTAGATCTGCATGTTTTCTGCATTCCTGCAGAAAAAAAAATAAATAATAGGAACATATACTTAGAAGGATAGAGTTTGAAACATATTCCCTGCCAATTTAAAATACTACTGTCGGCACAAGTTTATTAAGTCTTTCCACCTTTCTGTGGAAAGACTTATTGGTTTTCTTCTGTAAATTCACATCATTTTTCTTCCGCTGATTTTTTGTTTCGACATTTATCGAGAGACTTTTTGTTCATCGTAAAGGTCATTAAAAGTTAAGAACAGATTTGACCCAACGCTTATGAACTATGACCCCTTTCGAAGTTATTGCCCTTTTCGCAAGAAATGCTTGTTATCGCTACTCCTCCGAAACCGTAAACCGTAGAGGTGCGCATTGTACACCAATGTCTTCGACTAATTTAGTCGGTTCTTCAAACTGGGAAGTGCGAAAGAATTCCTAAACCCCTTTGAGTAGTTATTGCCTCTGAAAGTTTTAAAGCTTACAAAATTTTTTAAAAACTTTTAAACGACAAGTGTTAAAGATATCGGACCAACTGCATGAGATCTTATGACCTTTGACCTTGAAAAGTAGGATAAGGTCAAAGGTCAAGGTCATTTAAAATATGACCAAATTAAGCTTTTTTGTAGCTCCTTTCTTCTCCAACAAATTTTATACACCTTTGCATCTTTAATATGTACTCTTAAAACCATTTCAGAGATTTCATGCTTGTCCCCTAAGATTGACCCCTCTTAAAGTTAATGCCCCTTTCAGTGTAAACCCTTGTTATCGCTACTCCTCGGAAGCCGTAAACCGCAGACGTTTGAATCCTTCAACAAAGTCTACGACTAATTAAGTAAACTCTTGAATCTATTCATTGCGAAAGGATTCGTCAACCATTTTAGCAGTTATTGCTCCTTTACAGTTTCTAATGTTTACGAAGAACTAAAAACTTTTTAACGACAAGTTGTAAAGACATGGGGACAATGCATGAGATCTTTCTACCTTTGACCTTGAAGATAAGGTCAAGTTCATTGGAAATGTATTAAAATTGCTTAGATATGGGTTTTTGTTGACCCTCACTCAAAAGTAATAAAGAAATATTCATTACCTTACCTATATTCAGCTTCAAGTGTTAATCCCATGTCTATCAGTGTTGTTTGTGTGGGTTTTTTTTTTGATGACCTTTGACCTTGATAAATGACCTTGACCTTTGACCCAAAGGTCACAATCAAGCTTCAGTATGTGCAGGGATTTATAACTCTCGTGTTAACAAACGCTTATATAATATTCCCCCCCCCCATTCTCTCTAAAACAAAAAAAAAATCAATAGCGACATAGAAAATTTTTGTACAACCCAAAGGACATCACAGATCAAATTAAAATCCAGTTTAGCATGTAGAAGACACCTCAAAGAAAGTGCCCTGAGAGTTTTACGGTGAGTCTCTTAAGTACAATTAAATTCTAGTGAATATCGGCAAAATCTACATTTTTTTACTGTCTGAAATTTAATTGCTGAGTATAAAAATTAATCCAAGCTGTATTGGCTATTTCTTCGATTGTTCTTAATATC